GGAGAGTGGAGTAGCAAGCTCTGCCGACAGCTCCTTCAGCACTCTTGGATGTAACCCATTCAGTCCCACAGACTTGCATATGTCTAAGTGGAACAGGAGGACACTAACCATTTCTTCCTGAGTTATAGGGACCTCAATCAGCTCACCATCTCTGCCATCCAGCTCAGGGAACTGAGTACCCTGAGGATGGCTGATGTGACTATTAAAGTATGAAACGTTATCAGAAACATTAATCAATATATATATTACATGTATACCATTCACAGGAAAGGGAATTATAGACTCAATGAAACTATGGATGGCCTAGAATTCTGAACCAGGCAAGTCCAAAATCTTAGATTATTTAACACAATGTCTAGCAGAGAAATAAGAACTTTTTGAATTCAAATCTATCTTTGAATTGATAAAAAAAAGAAAGAAAATAATTTAAAAAAATATGGAAAAAAAAAAAAAAAAAACCAAAACCAAAACCCTGGCATTATCAATGCACCCAGATACAATACAACTGATAGAAAGAAAGGTGCAAGTCTCCATTAACCAGGCTGTCAAGAATGAACACAACTGCACAGCTATGTACTTTTTTAAAAAAATAAATTAAAGAACAAAAAGGCAGCATACTAACTGCTAAGTCAGTATCAACAGTATTATCTTCCACATAAATCATTCTGGACCCTGGAACCTTCCATATGACATATCACCTAGATAAGGGCACATGCACAGCTAGGTAGGTAGCACATCAGATGCAAGATATTAAAGCCCAGCAAAATCAGTGGAGAGAGCAAAACCTGTTGTTTTTGTAAAATTGTCCTTTTAATTTATTCATTATTATTTGGAAATTACAAATCGATTGATTTGTTTTTTAAAAGCCAACTTGAGAACATTCTATTTCAGGGTGACAGTATATTGCTTCTCAACTCCCACCAGGCTCTGCTACTAACATCAAGGAGTAGAACATCCTCTGACATGTAACCACAAATGTGCTTTTTAACAAAACCTAAACTACTCTCCCTGCAAGAGCTTTATTCCCATACCTTCAAACAGCTACATGACCTATGACACACCACTTAAGGCATCCTTGTAATAAAAACACATTGTAGTGCCACTAAATAAACTATTAGTATTCCCTTATGAAGCCTCAGTGTAGGCAATACACGCTTAAAATGGGAATTTAATTGTGACACTAAATTAATTTAAAAAAAAAAAAAAAGCAAAAAAAAAAATCTAAATAAAGGCCACCCCAAAATGCTAGCATTATGATACTTCCCAATTAAAATTAGTATACCCTCACTGAAGTTCACAAATAATTCGTGATATTTTGGCATCAAATGTTATAAAATCAAGGTTGTGTATAGTCTTCCAGATTTTCAGTTTTACACTTCCATGAACATAATTTATTTAAACAAGTGAAAACATGAAAGGATTATGTTCACTGAACCATACTTCTTTTGGCTAGGAAACATTACAAAATGGTCATGCTATTTGATGCATTAGTGCAACTTGTTTCCTGCAAGAAATACTCTGGAAACCTCATATACTACAAGCATACTACAAGAATGGTCTCCACATCTCTACTACAAACCAGTTCTGTTCTCAAATTTTCTTATATATACACACAAGAGAAAACATGGTTCAGGTCCTTACCCGATTTATTATGTCCATCTATAATAATGAAGATCTCAGAACTTCTATTGTCTCTTTAATTTCTTTCTTCTATGCTTAATAAAGAAGCTTCACAAAAATAGCTAGCTTAGAGGTACAGCCTTTGATAATGTTCTTGCATAGCCAACTCTGATCTAGTGGACTAAACATTAACCTGCAATTGCATAGTATAAAGTTTTGAATCAAAGCTTTATCTTGAGCCTGAATGACTCCAGTCACAATGATATTACTGATGCAAATGGCACAAACATTCAGCTGGAACAATGTGGAGCAACTAATACTGGCCAACAGCAGCAGTCATCCTGACTGGGCACAGCAAGAGGTCTTACACTAGTAGCTGACCTATTGTTGGTGGAAAGGCTCCAAGATTATCAGTTCTGCAAAAGACAAGGAATATTTGTGCTAGCTTTAAAGATTGCCCAAGTGCAGAAATTCATCTCACTACTGCAGCCCAAATGTGGACTCATTTACTTTGCTTCTTGCTAGATGGGACTTCACTGCAGAAGGCAGGTTACCAATATCATCTCAACTATTTTACACACAGGTAGCTCAGTTTTGGGATGCTGCAGCCTGCTGTGTAAAGATTATACTTTTTTGGGTTTTTTTAATCTATATAGAAACAAGTAGCTGCACATGTAGTTTAAGGTTTACTACCAAGAACCTTGTTAGAACCCTGAAGCATCCTGCAGCAAGCACCAGACTCTTATCTCTAGTTAGTACCACACTGTCAATTTAATGCCTGCCTTCAAGCTTTAGTCTGTCTTTTTAAACAAAAGGAGAAAATCCCATCAATTCTCTCTCTTCCTTCTCCAAAATTCTTCCCTCAAAAGAGAAAGCAAGAATTGAGAAAAGGCACAATTAAGAATGACCATGTGAATCCAACACTTAGTAGAAAGGCAAATAAAATAACCTGGCCTTGTTATACACAAAAGTAGTACTTGAACTTTTTGTCCTGTAACTTGAGACATTTCTAGGACAAAATCTCAGATTTGGTTTTAACACAGTATTTGAGAAAAGCTTTTAAATCAACATAGTAACAACTGCAGAGAAGAAAGTGTCCTTTTTTGTTTTAAAATATTTTTTAGAAAGTTTGTTTTGGAATCAAAACACATTGTCATCTAGGGATGAATCTCTGTCCCATCACTGCTTCCTTTACGTGGGAGGAAGCAATAAAAGCTTTGCTTTGTAAACATTATAGTGGTTGAGAATAGGTGGTTGGGTGTCTGGAGAACTGCAATCCTGAAAACGTTTCAAAAGCCTTTTATTTTGAGCTAAGCAGATGGAAATCTGATAACATGATTAGAGAGCAGAATTATTTCCATCATTCATCTCTAGAACTGCAGCAAAGAGAATTTCCCAGCAGTGATTTTATGGAGCTGGTGGAAGGACCACAAAGCCAGTAAAGCATACAGGCTGCAGACACCAGATCCCAGAGACTGGTCAACTATGCAGGTCTTGGTGACATACAAAAAAAGCTCTCACCAGCCTTAGCTACTGTGACCTATCCTTTGCAGCTGTATTTTACTCTTCCTTCCGTTACATAGTCAATGCTACTGTCCCTGTCTAATCCTCCCCAGCTCTGTCCTACTTCCCCTCTACTCCTCTATTCTGCATTTTCTTTGCAGAATTTGTGAAGAATGCATTGATATTTCTTTTAAGGAATAATAATTCTGGAGTAAGTTTCTTCCATTTTACTCACTCTTTACCTAGCATGTATTTTGTTGCTTCCTGTCTTCCTTTCTTCACCCCTGGTGTTCCAAGGCCAGCAAACCTTGTTACTGCAAAGGCTTAAGGCACTTTTGTTAACTACACAATTAACAAGGCAAGAAATGCAAAGTAGTGGTTTTCCATTCTAAACTCCATAATTGAATCCCACAGTTGTGTCATGTCTGTCCATGAAGGGAGAATGTCTAGACTGGATCTGTAATGCCAGTATTACAAAAACCCATGGAATTTTCCAAAACCACTGGGATCTGTGAAGGGTATACTATGTTTTCACTGCTCTGTGGGCCTAGAATAGATGACTAATGACCTGGACCTTCACACTGAAATATCTTTGAGAAAGAATTTAATCTGAAAAAGTGTAAAGAACACAGTAATATATAGTGAATTTCAAGGAACAAGCGAGTCACCTTCAGTCATTAAAAGAGCATTGCTAATAATGCAGAAAGCATACTGTACAGACGAAAGAAAATAAATATCGACACTTGCCAGGGGCAGTGGAACACTTACTTATGCTTGTAAAAGTTATTTTTAAACAGGTATAAGTGTCCAAAAGCTCAGTTTTATTCAAAAGCAGGGGATTCTTAATAACATTTACTAAACTGAAAGGAGATGGATACTTTCAGTCACCAGCACAGCTACATACCTAAATAGATCACCTAAAATAACAAGTTATCGGCAACTGTAACAAGTGTCTCACCTCCTTCTTGCACCACCCATCTCTTCTTTCCACATTTGTAAATATTTTTATGCTCTTCAAAGACTTACTTATGTTGACCCACATTCCACCCCTAGAGCCCAGCAGCAGGAGGAGAGCTGCTGAGGCTCTTAGGTCTGGCTGTCCCGAAACACTGAAGGTGACTGAATTATTGTGAAGTCAGTGAATGGAAAAGCTGGAGCTTACACCCCAAACCTTCACAGAGCTAAGAATATTAGCTCTAAAAATGCTTAGGGATTATCGCTTTTTCTTCCCAAAGCAGCACACAGCAGGTCTACTCTCATAGTTTTTATTGAATGTTCTCAAGACTCTTATTATATACTGTTGCAGTCTAAGGTCATTCAAAGGACAAAAACAGTTTAAAGGTAGCTTGAGCAACAGTAAAATATTACGAAAAACCTTCATGGAGAGTTTACCAAAGAATGATAACTGTTCATTCAGCAG